TTAAAACTCCACTGTCTAAACTTAATGTATCGTTTGTTTCTTAATCTTACATGAAATATGTTGAAGCTCTAACAAGATTATTGGATTACTTCCTAGATTAATAAAAATGGTATCGAGCAATCGATAGAAGCACATGTTGAACAAGATTTTGTGAATGGTGGTATCAAAAAGGAAATACCAGCAGATGGTAGCTTATTACTGTATTTGCAAATTTTTATTTCTAAGCAGAGGCCTTCCAAATTTCTGAACATTTAAATGAAATCCCTTAGATATTGTTTTCGATTTTTTAAATGTTCTGTTACAGGTGATGCTGTAGCTTCTACTTCATTAGAAATTCATTTGACTGAAAAAGGAACCAACAGTGACGATAAAGATATTACGAAAGAACAAGTAACTTATTCATATTTGCAATCTAATGATTATATGGTATTGGGGAGAAAATAGAACATTTGTTATTTTTGCAAAGTTTCTGAAGTATTATGAACAATGGATTTCTATTTTAGGCAAAGCCAAGGAAAGAAGTGTCTCCGCTACCTTATTCGTTCTCGCTTACTGCTGATGTTCGAGTACCACTCACAATCACGGCATCGGAGCTAATGGAAAGATGTAGGAAAAGAGTTGATAAACCAAGTGAATTTATAGAAATATTTGATGAACGAGTGAAGCCTCCAACTTTACCAGAAGTACCACAAACAGAGAAATCTCTACCTGAGAAAGTTCGTTTAATTTTCAGTTTTCTAAAAATATGAATTATTAAGGATAATATCGCTTGATCCACTTCCAGTAACATAGTGTTGCAGCCATGATTCTTTTTTTCTCGTTTGAAGCATCAGCTAAAACTTATGCATTGGAAATTGTTTCTCAGAATTTGATAATCAGTTTGAACTGTTATTTTTAGCTTTTACGACCAACACCTGTAATTATGGTGGAGTCACGAAAAGAAGCACATAGTATTGAGCTACAAAATTATTGTTACAATAGTGCAATTGCATTGATACGTGGTTTGACGCAGACTTTAAAGATGGATCTCTCACTTTTTTCAACGAAATCTTTGTTGGAAATTGCACCAAATCATGAGGTTTGTTCTTCGAGAGAAGTTTGATTTACTATAATGAGTAGTTCTGTTCTACTGTATTACTTATGCAAAAATTAATAAACAAATCATAAGATACTCTGATTGCTATACAGTGATTTTAACATTTTCCATTAATTCTGAGTTAGAATTCCTTTACCTTTCACAAGTTTTTAGAATTATAAGTCGAAAGAGTTGATTTATTTTTTACTTTTTTTAATTTTTGCACATGGTTGATTAGGCAAAATAGAGCGCATTTGTTTAACTCTCAAAGTTTATGAGAACGATTGGTTATCATGTTTCAACTTTGCTTTAGTCATATTTTGCTTTTCCACGTTGCCTAATATGGGAAGTTTGAAAATAGTTAACGAAAGCTGTTAGCAGGCATTCAGTGTTATGCTTTTTTTTGCTGTTATAATGTGAATATGAACATAGCTATGTAGATCTGTTTATTCGCCGTTTCTTTAAAAAAAATATATATATATATATATATAATAGCTGTGCAGACCTGCTTATCCGGCATTTTTATCTGTAGTTTTTATCTACACTCAACTGAAAAGAAATCAAAGAATAATTAGATCTGCTTTGAGAAAATTTTTAATAATTGATATTTACTTGAAGCTATTTAATACTGGCTTCCTTACCATTCTACTAGCTGCTAGAATAATGCTTTCAAAAAAATACGGTGATTTTTAGGTGGAAATACGTTCTCAGTACAGGATGCCTCCTGATCAAAATGTTGATCATCTTGGACAGCCAACATGGATATGCCATAGTACTCGTTCTTATACCACTATTGCTCATTATGCTCAATATCAGGCTCAGTCATTCCAATATAGCTTGAAGGTAGCATGTCCAATGTTTTTTCATGAATATTAGAATGATTTTTACGAATCTTGCCTCTAAAGATGTCAGGCATTGAGTATTGCTAAACAAGAGTTTTCCTTTAATTAAATAGTAGAAGAAATCGCGCAGTTTTGGTTGTTAAGAACCAACTAACAACAACCTAGTTATCCAAAAAAAAATGGTTTGAAATCTACCGTTTGTAAGCACTCTTTAGGCCACACCATTACTATCATACATATTTGAATAAATCATTCGACATTTTCGATCTTGATGATAACTTCAAGTCAATTCGTAGACAAAAGCTGAAAAATTCCATACTTTTAAGGTTGAAATTTAGGAAGAAGCCGAAAAACTTCGGGCAGCAAGTGCAAAATATGGTGGTAGTGGTGGTAGTGCTTCAGCAGATGCCGGTAATGGTTCGTTGAAACGCCGGCGTGCTACTGTACCTGAGGAATCTCAAATGCCGATGAAGCTGATCAAATTTGGAACAAATGTTGATCTTTCGGATGAAGTGAAGTTCAAGTAAGAATTTGTATTACTTTTATATTGTGGCACGAATCATTTCATC